CTCCTCCTCCTCCTCCTCCTCCTGCCGTCCCTGCTTTGCGTACGTGCGTGCGTGTGCGTGTGTCAGGTTTACGGTTTTTACGAGGAGTGCATGCGCAAGTACGGTAACGCGAACCCTTGGAAGTACTGCGTCGAGGTTTTTGATCACCTCAACCTCGCCGCTTTGGTGGACAACGAGGTGCTGTGCGTACACGGAGGCTTGTCTCCAGAAATTCGAACGATTGATCAGGTGACACACAGTATCGGGGTTGGCTTGGTTTTTTCGCAGCAACCTTGACACGTCTTTTCGTTTCTTGAGTAAACATGTTGGATAAAGCGCACAATGGGGGGAGTCGGGTTAGGGTTAGGGTTAGAGGATACGGTCTGCGTACCCCCTCCCTGTTGCCTTTGGTGATGGACTTTCCTTCTCGCGAAGGCGGTCGGTTTTCAGTTAATGGTTTGCTCTCTCGTCATATTATGTAGGATGTCTGCGCTTCGGTGGGTAATTGTTGTTGCCGTTGTCGTTGCCGTTGTCGTTGTCGCTGTTGTTGTTGCTGTCTCCGTCAGCTGTGTTGTTGCTGTCTCCGTCAGCTGTGTTGTTGCTGCTCGGCTTTGGAGCGCTGCACTGAATCGGTGTTTTCCCGGCTATATTTTGACGGGAACCCGTGAAGTTAGTTGAGACACACATATCTTCGTCCCGAATGATCGATGCAACTTGTGGAAGAGGCCGTGACGCATAGGGGCCTGTTGCCCCTGCGGAAGTGCATGTCCTCCAGTAGCCGCCACCGTCGTTGGGAGTGATTCGTTTCAAAATCTTCACGTGGCGTGATCGGTGACCTTGTTGAGTGTATTTAGTCTGTTCCAGTAGGCCATCGAAGCGTGTAAAGCACCCCTACAGCAGCAGCCCGGACTGCTGCACTACCACCACACTCTCCCCGCTTGGTACACTCGACGCTTGCATGCGCATGCCCGCCATTCTACATGCCACATTGTGCTTTGGGACCCCAGGTCGGAAACGTGCTCCGTGGTTCCCAGCCTACCGTGTAGTAACCAAATGACCGTCCCTCCTCCCTCCTTGCCATCCCTCATGCCCCCCCCCCCCTGTTTCGAACACCGTACCACGGTGCGTATCGCGGCGCTTTACGTTGGCGCGATCGATGCGATGGATGGTGTATCAGATTCGCACGATAGAGCGTAACAAGGAAATTCCCCACGAGGGTGCCTTCTGCGACATGATGTGGTCGGACCCGGAAGAGATTAGGGACGCTTGGCTCATCAGCCCGAGGGGTGCGGGATACTTGTTCGGGTCGCGGGTGGCGGAGGAGTTTAACCACATGAATGGCCTCGACCTCATCTGCCGAGCGCATCAGGTTGGCATTGCAGTAGTGGAAGTATATTTCGATATATGCTTTATGTATTTCGTTTGTGTATGTGTTTGTTGTGCATGTAGCTTGGCGGCGTCGTTGGTTGTAACGGCCTGGCGTGGCTCGTCTCCCAAATGACGTACTGAGCTGATCGGTTGCTTTCGTTTCTTTTTGCGCATTTCCCTCGTTCTCGATGGATCATTTTTTCGTGAGGATGATATACTTTTTTTTGTGCCGGCGGGAGACAGCGCTTGGTGGGATGCCTATTCTGATGATGGCTACCTTCTGCTTTTTCGATTGATCAGCATTACCACCCAAGGGCCACACCGTCTGCTGCGTGCTGCGTGAACTTCGTCTGGGATGTATGTAGCCCATGTTCCTTTTCGCACACTTCGTTTTTGGCGGAAAGCGACGTGTTCCCATTTCGAGCATATCCGGAGCTCATTTTTACGTCGCGATTTCCCACCGCTCGCTTGTTTTTTCCAACTTCAATAAATTCGTCCAACAACGTGATGTACTAAAAACGAGTACACAGCTCGTGATGGAGGGATTCAAGTACCACTTTTCCAGCAAGAGCGTCGCCACGGTATGGAGCGCTCCCAACTACTGCTATCGATGCGGCAACGTAGCTGCCATGCTAGCACTCGACGACAACCTTGGAAGGGACTTCAAGATATTCCACGAGGTACGTGTGTCATAGCCGTGACCTTGCGACGTCTTGACACGATTTTTGTGGGAAGCGTTTTCTTCTGCCCCTCCCCCCC